AGAGATTAAGACAGAGTTAGCAGAGTTGAAGGAACATCATACAAACTCAGCACAGGTGTTCCAGCAATACCGTTCTCCCAGCACTCATGCATCTTGGAACTCTTGGAAGGGGAGTAAACGGACTCGTCCTTTTGACGCTCAGACATCAGGTGGTTTCACTCAGCCAGGACACCCTACCCAGAAAGCATACCCGTCGCAAGCATGTGCCTTTATGCCAACATCCTTTACCACCACAGCCTGTACCCGTACCTCCATCTTTCATGCCACAAGGATACCGAAGACATGGACAGGAAACAAGTCATCGACAGCCTCCTACTTGCTTCAGATGTGGATGTCCTGGACATATAGGTTGCCGTGTTCGACTGGACCACTTCAGGAGTCCTTTAAACCTGTACAGGCTAATGGAAAGAGGCTCCTTCAGACACCCCACGGAGAATTAATAGGTCATGCAAATGAACAACAATGAGCCACCGTTAATCCAGATTACTTCTGATTACCCGACCGGCTACGGGGGATTAACCCCTCCCGTTTGCCCATTGCCCATTGCCTATTGCTTGTTAGCAGTCATAATTTAAGTCCTGTCATCACCTATCAGCGCCAGTTATCTGTTCCCTTCCCTTTTCAAGTTTCCACCTTTGTTATGTTATTACTTTGTTGTTCTTTACGGGTACATATATATGTTCTCTGCTTCATAGCATTAATTCACCCGATGAAGGAGTAAGTATATACTCCGAAACTTTGTGTTCCTCATAATAAAGAAGTTCCCATCCACAAATTTTCTTCCTTATGTGTCTCACATCTAAATGTCATTCAAAGACTACATAAAGGTACGCTAACCTGACATATAAATCAGAATATTTATGAATACACTATTGTTCTCAATACCCAAGGAGTGCACTATTACGATTATATTTTCAATTACATACATGATTCTTCTTAAGAAAAAGTCCCTTAAACTAGAAAACGCATACAGTTCGGTATGACGAGAATATCAAAAGTAGTGAAAAGTAACAACAAATGAATATGACCGAGATATAGCCGAACAATATTTTTTACTTGGCATAAAAACAATATTTTAAAATTAACATATCGGTTTTTAGCTTCCACATTAACAGTTAATTCGGTAACGTGTCACTGAATTTTCTGTCTGGTCCATTACTTGATTCTCTGGTTTGTTTGAGACAACCGTCGCATGGAAGGCAACATGCAAATACTTACTTTTTAATACATATTGTGTGAGTGGCAGGTGTTACCTGTAGAACAGGACATGCTTACCCTTTTCACCGATTTTCAGTGATCTATGCATATATTTTTCACCGCTATTTCGCTGTTAAGTCCAACGGAATATATATTTGCGGATAATCGAGACTGGTTGTTCTCTGGTGTTGACGTTTTATAACTTTTTATAAAAAAACTTTCTGTTATCTGCTGCAATGCTGAATATTAAGGGTCGTGTCTATATGATGTTACCACTTTTATAGACTGTTAAAATGTGTTATGGTGTAAAACAGTTTTTTGTTAAACAAACTTAGCTCTAAACGTTTGGATTGATGTCCCTTAAAGGAACAAAGTGTTTATGTGTTTTACCTCAACAGGTGCGGCGTTAAACAACAAACCAACCAACCAACCAACCTCAACAGGTTAAACACATGTCAAGGGCTCAATATCCCAAAATATCAACATCTTTTGAACATAGCACGTTCATGAAAAGTGTGGACTATAGTTATTGGAGTCAGAAAAAAATGCCAACCGTTGTGTGGTGTCCAAGCGAAACACATTTAGACATAAAATACTTCATTATCTGAATATTTCATCACTTGCTTTGATAAATACAGCAGCAAGCAAGAGTTGTGTAAGGATTGTAGAAATGTACATATTTGAACGGACTCGTTTAAGCTCTTGCTTGGTGTTGATGTTGTCGTATTGTAGGCATCGCAGAGCTATTCCAAGTACCAAAACTGCTTAAACGGTTTAGAGGAGTGGGTGAGTGGGTCGGTGGAGAGTGCCCACTATTAATATGAAGACAGAGATCATGTTAGATGTCTAGCTATTAGCTGAGATAATGATAATGATAAGATCTTATGAAAATAATTTGAACTCACATTCTTGTATCAGTTTGATTGGGACCCACGCTTCAATAGCGTAATTGCACTTAGCTGAGATAATCGAGACTGGGTATTCTGTTATTTAATTGAAAGTAATTCGGGAAAGGCAGTTGCATGCTGGTAATTTCGATCTAGAAGAACATTGTAAAACGTGATATTGTTAGTAGGGTTGAGTTTTCTATTTTTAGTGACTTCTGACATTAAAGCAGTGTCAACATTGAGAGTTTTTAAAGTCCAGTAAGGGTGTAACCCTTTGTAGTGCCTTTCTGGTGGCTGAATATCATCATAATTGTGACTTCGGATGAGAACACGTACTAATATCCCGGATGGTTTAAGTGAGGGATTTTTCCGAGCTTGGGCTTCATTTTGGCTGTTTTTGTCTTGCCATATTTTTTCACCAAAGGGTTTGAGGTTCGTGCCCAGAACGATTATATTGCTTGCTCTCTTCTCAGTTTCACTGAGAGTTCTCCTGTTTCTACTTGTAGTGCTTACAGTGATGTACCAGTTGCTGCACCTGTGGCAAGCATTAGGACTTTGCATTGTATTATGTAGAGGCGACTCAAGACAGTATTTAATGCTCAGTGAAAGGCCTCACAACCATAGTCTATTTTTGATCTGATAAATGAATTGTAGAGGTTCAGCTGAGTGTCCCTCGATGTGCCCTAACATGTGCCCTAACATGTGCCTGAAATTGCCCGTAATACGTTCAGGTCTTTTTGACATCTGTCTTCCACATATTCTATATGTTTGCGAAAAGTGAGGATCACCCCTAGAAATATTGCGGATTTTTCGAATTTGATTGGTTTGCCATGTATGGAGAGACGGGGTATCACAGCATCTTCCCCACTGCGTTTGAATGGAACTCCAACAGTTTTTCAACTTGAAAGGGTGAAGCCCCATTGATTGCATCACTGATCTACACCGTCGAGGGCTGACTTGAGTATTTTTCGGATTTGTGAAATATCTGTGTGCTTTACCCACATTGCTCCGTCATCAGCGAATTTAGAAGTTTGGGTATGAGTGAGTGAGTGAGTTGGGTTTAACGCCGCTTTTAACAGTATTAAATTTATATCGCAGTGTGTCAGCTTAATGTGGGAGGAAAGCCCGAAGTGATGCATGTCTCAGACGTTTAGCACTTCGGTGAAACCCACGAGCAAGGGTATGGTGCTGACAAACCTAGAAACATAATCGTTTGGGTAGGATAGTTGATATGATGAAATGGATTATTGACAGGGTTGGGCTTATGATGCTGCCTTGTCGCGTGCCATTGTCCGGTGACATAGGATCAGATTGATTGTTATTTAAACAGATAGCGAGCTACTGTGGGGAGAGGTAACTCCTTAAACAAGTCTCCTTTTAAGTGTTGGCCGCTACTATCGTAAGGATTACATACAGGATTAGCATTGTTGTTTTAGCTGACAATGACTGAGCTTACTTCAAAGTGACAGACCATCCGGTCCCGTCCTGTCTTCAATAGTAGATTGGTTGTTGGGACCGTAGTTTTAGTCCTAAGTAAAAAGTCCGAATAAGAGAGTTGTGGAAAAAAGTATGATTTGGACAGATTCCACCGTATATACAAAAATGTGAATGGTTACAATCGCCATTGCTCCACAACACAGAAATCTCACATCAGTCCGGGGCGGTGGGGATAGTCTAGTAGTTGTTTAAACTATGCCGTAATTACATACTCGCTCCCCACTTTCCCCGCCTACCTCCCTAACTCACTTACCATCAGTTGACCAATCCTTGGTTCCGGGTTAGAATCGGTCTTCAGCAACCCATGCTTGTCATAAGAGAGTGAGTGAGTGAGTGAGTGAGTATGGTTTTACGCCGCTTTTAGCAATATTCCAGCAATATCACGGCGGGGGACACCAGAAATGGGCTTCACACATTGCACCCATGTCGGGATTCGAACCCGGGTCTTCGGCGTGACGAGCGAACGCTTTAACCACTAGGCTACCCGACCGCCCCCTTGTCATAAGAGACGACTAACGGGACCGGGTGGTCAGATTTGCTGACTTGGTTGATGCATGTCATCGTATCCCAATTGCGTAGATCGATACTCTTGATGTCTGGATTGGCTGGTCCAGCCTCGATTATTTACAGACCGCCGCCATATAGCTGGAATATTGCTGAGTGCGGCGTTAAGCAAAAAACAAACATAATCCTTTTTGTCTCATTGTCAATTAAACACAGTTGCATCAACAAGGGTGATGTAATCAGAATTTCTCTCAAATTCCAGCTTTAACATCTATATATTTAACTTCACATCTGGCGTCAACAATCAGTAGACCTGAAACGCCATGATCTTGACCGTGACCTCGTTCTAGTTTATTGTTTTCAGAATGACTGAGTGATGCTGTGAACATGCGACATTGACATTTGTGTAACTCATTTGGTAAGGTTGACTTCAATATTGTTTGCATTTATATATGTATGGAGTTAAAGCCGATGTGCGCACATGGGGTTAGCGAATTTACACTTTCATTTCATCTATACCTCAATGCACAATGCATAACACATCGAAGTCAATTCTTAAATAATACAAATTTAAAGTATACAACTAGGCGGGGGTGGTTATATTCTGACAAAACACTTAATGTGCAGCTGCAGATAACATAACTCCAAGTCAACGGAAAACTTCATGTCAGTTGTTTCGTCTACTAACTTACCATATCAGATATAAGCTTGTGGGAGAAATTTAAAACCAGGGGTAGGAGTACGTACATATCTAAAAGAATAACGACAATAATTTGGGAAAGGCAACCAACACATGTATCCTACCAAATTCGAAACATGCCAGTGACATCTCAGGCTGTAAAACGTTTCGTTTTGTGTTCCACATCCTGGTGTCACAACATTCTTCCGGACACGCCCGTGTCGTTGCCGAAGTATTTACAGGCTATTCGTGTGGGGAGTACAGGTGGAGTGAAAGTGTCAGTGTTTTCCTCTGCGTCTGACAGATATCACCCGCACGGTAGGTAATTTTGTATTGTACGAAGATAACATTGTTCACGTTAATAACGAATTTTCCTTCGTGTGACTATTCAACATAAAGTAACGTGTTTTAGCCAAAACGAGGCGAACGTGATTACAAATCCCATAGATTGTATGAATTGATATGCATCTCAAAGGTCTTCAGACATTGTCTGTCTCCGAATAGCAGACTGATTAAGTTAACTGTTCTCAGAAATAGTGTGTCCCAAGTATCACCATCCTGACCAATTGTGGAAGAGCTTTTGGACACATGTCTTGTCGAACACAGTTCAAGAATATATTTTGTTGTTTTGTGTATTATTCTGTAAAACGGTTGTATTAAGGCCCAAATGTTATATGTACCCAGTGTGTTTCCTTTAGATTATACCTATGGAAATCTTGATATAACAATTGACGCACTTTGTTTCAACTTATTAATGTAAGAAACAAAACACATGAAGTTATCATCTTTTTACGGTTAACGGTTATATGTCTTAACATGCTTCATCCTCTTACTGCAAGGACATTTATACAACTCAGTTCTGGTGTGAAAGATACCTCACTCCATTCTTTTCAAACATATATCTACTTCATATTGCAGATAATGATGCTGAGGATCTGCATCGCGGTATTTTATCTCTGCACTGTATGCAATGGTAAGTACACCTACAAATATGAATTGAAGTAAGATAAGCTGATGATCATTTTGAGACTGCAAATGTAATGGGCGAAATGTCCTGACAGGACATTTGAAGCACAAACTTTGCCTTCTCTTACCAGAGAGTTATCAAAATGTTGTTTTCTGGTAGTTTCCAAATTATGAAGTCAAATGCATCTGCAGTTACCGTATTCTTTATAATATCAGTAATTGCTGACTGGATTGAAGTGGAATTTCACATAGATCGGGTTTGAAATGTATTCAAAGCAAATCATTTCATATCCGTGTCTTTTCTAGTGTAGTCACATTTTAGGCAACGTCTTGTTGTCGAGATGGTTCACATAATAAAGTTCTTAACAATTTCAAAGCATTGTACGTAAAAACCATATGTATGTTTCACTATGCACACATGGATGAATACCAAATGGCTGTATTTCGTTTGTTTCAATTCATCAAAATGAATATGGACCGGACATGGCGCTCTTGCAAGGCACTCTCGGTTTCAGGTCCATAATGTTCACCCATGTCTTGTATTGTCGACGGTAGCAGACGAACCAAGAGCGAGTGAAAAAATAAGTGCTTGTTGTTTGATGCCACAGTCAGAAATATGGTCACTGAAATAAATGCTATGTTACGATTAAGGTCCGTATGACTGTTCTCCAAAATAGTCTAGATACTGGATTTGTGTTACACTTTTAGGGTTTAAACTCTTACAAAAATAGTGGGATATGTCTCTTAAACTGACAGATAAGATTTAAGCAAAATTCATTTTCATCTTCTCTCCCAGCATCGTATATCATATTCATAGATACTATTCTGCATACCGAAACACATGTTAAATATGCGACGTGGACAATAATAAGGGGTTTCATAATATGATAATACAGACGGGCGACGTGTTTATCTCTATGGAAAAAGTTGCGCGTGTAGCTTATATATATACTATATACTAGTATATGTTTTTATGTTATGAGCCTAATGGTTAAAGCGTTATCTCGTCACGTCGAAGACCCGGGTTTAATTCCCGACATGGGTACAATGTGTGAAGCCCATTTCTGGTGTCCCCGACGCGATATTGCTGGGATATTGCTTAAAACGGCGTAAAACCATACTCACTCACTTCTGTATGATGAATTTCTATGGGTATGTGATATAATTGGAATAAAACTATCACTCACACCTTCGCATTCTGAAATAATTATCCCATTAGCTTTCCTCATTAAAAGGAATTCTGTTTTTAGCAGAGATTTCTTATGATTACATAATAAGTAATGTCTCTTTTCCCCAAAATATGGAATAGACAGGTGGACACACTAATTTGCATTTCTGAATAAGGAAACTGTAACGTGAACATGCGATATTTTCTGTTTGATTGCTACTACTGATCAACAACAATCACAATGCCACTACAATGCAATATCAATGCGAGGCTTATCGTCAGCTGAGAGGGTCACACTTTGTACACGTTGCACATGTATTTAAATATGTTGTGTTCATTAAAGCGGCCTCTTTCGTTAACTACATAAGTATACATGTCCACCTTAAATCGTGATGCATTAAAGTGGGCGTTCTGTCATAACACAGGAAAAACTTACATCATATGTCACCGATGAAAGCTATTCTCATTTTCATTAAGTAACAATGTTCCCTTGAACGTGACAAAGTATATATGTGTCAAATCATACATGACTGAACATATTCTTAGCTGTAGACAGCCACAGCAGGGAAGAAGGAAACGATAATTTTAAACCTGCATTTAAATACTCACAGACGTTTTCGAAAGATCCCAGTGGCTGCCAGGGCAGTAGGAAATACGTGTGCGATTAGCTTAATATCAAAGGCCCGAAGTGATGCATGTCTCAGACGTTTAGCACTTCGGTGAAACCCACGAGCACGGGTATGGTGCTGACAAACCTAGAAACATAATCGGGACGAACCGTGATTCGAACCCACAATCATATGTTTCTGGCGTGCCCAAGGTACGCAACTCTGCACAACTTATCGCGGCGCCTTAGACACACACACACACGCACGCACACACACGCACGCACACACACACACACACACACACACACACACACACACACACACACGCACGCACACGCACGCACGCACGCACACACACACACACACACACACACACACACACACGACGATTTCGCCAAAATTAATGTAAACAATATGGAATGGAATTTTATATAAAATTGATAAAATATATTACAAACATAACGCCAGATATACAATGAACACCATTTTATAACCAGATAGCATAATAATGGGATTGCGTATTTCAGTTTGGATTTGTTGACTGGTATATCCGGTCTTACGTGCTCGCGGTGATCAGCGGATAATGTTTTTTTGAGATGGGGGGAAAACATTATGTCAGTGTAAACCTAGGGTTTATTAAAAATGTAAGTAAATTTTGGGAGCCAACTGTCACCGCGCGCTATAACCGAGGTATTGAAGGGCGGAATAGCGAGGAAACACTATCTATGTTATGAAAGTGACACATTTTTTTGTGTTCATACATCCAGCACCTCAGATATGAGGTGGGCGTGACCAAAATGCAAACGCCCGATTGGCAAAAGATATTTTCGGATCTCTGATACATACATATCTAGTTAAGATAGTAGCTTGCGTTTAGTTTGAGATGTTACACGACTCTCCAAGAAAGAATCTGCAGGCTCTGTTGAATCACTATTGATTGTACTTAATTCACCCAGTCCCCAAATTGCGGAGCCATACATTAAGACTGATTGAACAAGCGATTCATAAAGTCTCGAGAAAGTCTTATGAGTCATTACACCATGGTTAAAGTACTTCGTCTGTAGACTTGATAAGGCTCTGTTGTCTTCTTTAGCAATTTCCTTAACAGTGAAGTAAATGTCTAAGTGCTCATGGAACCAGAGACCAAGATATTTATATTTGTCAGTTATTTCTATATCCTTAAGTCCACAAGAGAAATTCAATTCAGTCTGTGATGAGTTTTTATTTCGGATGTAAATAACCTTTGATTTTTCATTGTTAAGTTCGAGTCTCCATTTAACAAACCAGGCAGTTACAGCATCAAACATCTTTTGCAGACATTGTTCATTCGGGCGGGCTAACAGCACTATATCGTCTGCAAACAAAAGGATTCATAAAATGGTGCTATCAATGGTTATTCCACAGTTCAGAGCATTGATTTCATCTGCCAGATGTACATTCACCCTGTGCACTCAACAGAACCCACTCATCTGATGGTAGATGGTCAAATGGTGGAAACACGGATACGTTCATGCACCCGAAAGACAAGTGTCAAAACGTCTGGTGTCATAAGGGACTTAGTTGTTAATGTGTGTTCCTCACTATTTATTAAAACAGAGCATACATACAACAAATCTGACAAACAGCCTCCTGACAGAATTCAGGATTTTATCTGACGCATCAGACAGATTAATGTTTGGCACTATTCAGATTATGAGCATGTATCATCAGAACACTAACACATTATCTAGCCTCCATTCTGAAGAACCGTTCCAATTAACATCGCTGTATGTACGTCGTTTTCGCTACCGTCTGTAGATTTACTTGCTTACCCGTCTGCCAAAAAAACACATTTGTATGCTAAAAGTTCGTGTAATGATATTGGTGAAACCTGTGACCATATACCGGTATCACAGCAAAAGAAATGCAGTTTCCGTTTTCTGGATCCTTTCCGGACACCTCCGAACACTTACCAAAAATGCATCCGGGTATCCGGTGGCGGAAACCTTGCCGGATACTAGATCCGTGGTACCCGGCACCGGACACGTCAGCGGAAAGCATGCCTACTGGAGCCCAGGTATCCGGCACCAGATATGGTAGGATTCCCCCCCCCCCCCCCCCCCCCCCCCCAAAAAAAAAAAAAAAAATGTCAAAATTTGAGGGGTGCATTTTATTCAATTAACTGTGAAACACATAAACAATATTTGAAACTTACCAAGAAAACTGAAAATTGCTGAAGGTATCCTGATGCATATTTTCTTCTTGTCTTGTTTCCAGTAAACAATGTTAGCCTGGGCATATCAGATAGCTGTAGTAATATTCTGTGTTATTTTAGTGGTAAATATACTCTTAAAGTTGAGATCTCTTGGGAAAAATATTTTTCAATTGCATATATATTCAATTTTTTAAGTTAAGCATATTAAATGAACAACTATCAGTCCCAGTATGATGGTTTCCTTAAGTTATATATTCATATTCCCAGTTTGTTATAGCCTAGTGGTTGACTCGTCACGCCAAAGGCCAGAGTTCAATTCGCCACATGAGTATAATGTGTGAAGCTCGTTGCTTGGTGTCACCCACCATGATATTGTTGGAATATTGCTAAAGGTGGCATAACACCATACTCACTCTGACAAAAAATTGAAAGTAATTGGCTATGTCTCTTGTGCCTTTGTTCCTGGTGAGATTGAAAGATTATCTGGGAACTACATCAGTACTTGTTTTATCTGGACAGCCCAGTTTTATTGAAGGTCGAAACAGAATTAAATTGCCCCAAATAGGTGCATAAGACTGATGGCATCCACAGAAAAGACCTGAATAAAGTGACCCGTGAAGATTCCGGGGTAGAATAGGTCTTCAGCAACCCATGCTTGCCGTAAAAGGCGACTATGCTTGTCGTAAAAGGCGACTAACGGGATCGGGTGGTCAGGCTCGCTGACTTACTTGGTTGATGCATGTCATCGATCCCAATTGCGGGGATCGATGCTCATGATATTAATCACTGGATTGTCTGGTCCAGACTCGATTATTTACAGACCGCCGTCATATAGCTGGAATATTGCTGAGTGCGGCGTTAAACAACAAACCAACCAACCAACCTGAATAAAGTGCATAAAACTATCAATGTCATTTTTCTACTGACATGGAACTAAAAACTTTGTTCAGTGAGCTGTATTAATTGTAGGAAAACATTCAGGGCATTATTATATTTGATATATATTCAGCACCTATGTTATGGCTGATCAATATTAT